TATTTAAAAATGTATTCGTAATCGGGATGGCGATTATTTTTAGTACATTATTTATATCGGATAATTGTAATTATGATTAGTAATTACATATCGAGGACAATTATATTTTATATTTAGACTAGTCACGTGATGCGGCAGTCACGTGATTTTAGCACATTGACTTGAAGTATTGATGTTACATATAAATATCAATAGTGCAAGGGCATAACCAAGTTAAATTTCCAAGTTTTGTATATAAATATTTTCAACATGTATCGTAGTTTCTTAAAAGTGCTGCGATCTTGCCTAAATTCTGCAATATTATTGTTAAAATTATACTTGTATGACCGAATGCTATATTTTTTACTGGTTAGCAGCATGAAATACTGATATAATTAAACTGTTTTTAAGATTTCATCAGGATCGCAGCACTTTTCAGATACCTTATTAGTTCTATAGTTGAAATATAAAGGCTTACTTTGATCCAAAGAGTGTATGCCCTTGCACTAGATCGATTTATTAAGACCCCCACATTACCCTCCGATGTACTTGCATACAAATATACGGCAGTGTCAATTAAATACGCAATGTACAGAAAATATATTAATAAAATAGTGAAAAAGACATTAAATTCAAGTTATTGGCCCATAGAATATCTGTAAATAATATTTTATTTAATTAGAGAATACATATTTTGTTGAGAAAATATTACTTGATTTGTCTCTCACTGCATACAAACTACGTCACGTTGTAAGAAATGACGTCATATTGACAAGTGTATTGCAATCAGTGCATTGTTTATAACTTGTTATGTGGGATTTAACTAACGACAAAACAACACGCTGTAGTAATATTTTATGTAGTTTGATTTCTTACTAGTTAAATAAGCAGATAAACTCATTTTGTGGTATTTTAAAGAAATGTTGTATGACGTATATTGTGTATGATGTCATAGTCAAGTTTCCCCGTACAAATTAGGCTCCGCCTCCTTTTTGTAACCTTAACTGTGATGCGTTGTCTGATGTTAAAATGAAAGCAGCGGCAATAATATTCTCCCCATACGAAATACATGAGTCAATTCTTTATCATAGATTAAGCATATCGACTTCGAGGTAAAGTTTAAAGATATCAATCATTATGGAAAAAGCCAACATAATCTTTGAAAAATTTATCTCCAAAAATAGCATAAACATTGTCTATCAGAAATCCTACATATTCTTATTTCAGATAATTATGCATGAGTAGAAAATCAAGTGTTTTTTCATATTTTTTTAAAAATGTATTTTTTCTCTTCAAAAATAAAAAGCTGATAATTTTATGTAAATTATCATACTTTTTTGAGTAGTTCGAATGATTGCATTCTTATCTATAAAACAAGGGATCATTCCATTAGTCTGCCTGTACGCAATATTTTCACTTTTTTGGTAAACAGTTAGATTTCATGATGCAAAACTTGAAATTCAAACTAAATTATATAGAATTATCACTCTTGTCGTAAAAAGCCTAAGGTTTTATCTTTTTGTACGCAAAGCAAAGACAGGATTATTTTTCAAGTAAGATAATGAAAGATTCCGATCTCAGTAAGAATGCTTGTATTTCACATTTCTTCCTTTAAATCATTAAAAATTTCCCTTCTATAAGGGGTAAAGGTTGGGCTACAATGGCTGATTAAAGTTAAACTTAGCAATATCGAGGATATTTTTTTTTCAAAAATTTTATACTCCAGAACCATTTGGTGAGGAAAGTTTTCACTCATGTGAAAGCCTCCTCAGATTGTGTTAATTCAGGTTTATTCAAATCATGATCCCCAGGGCTAGAAGGAGACCACAACGCTGATCAAAGGTTAAGATAGAAATATATCGGAAATATAAAAAAGAAACCTTCTCCGAAACCATTGGACCAGGAAAGAAGAAACACAGGAAGATTCCTCAGGTTGTGTAGATTCAAGTTGTTCAAATCATGACTCATGGGTGTAGGGCGGGGCCACAATGTAGATCAAGGTTTTACATAGGGATATATTAGAAAAAGCTTTAATTTGTTTTCCTCCAAAACTAATCGACCAGGAAAGAAGAGACTCATTTGGAAACATCCTCAGGTAGTGTAAATTCAAGTTTGTTAACGTCAAACTTCGAAAAAAAATAATTCAAGTTTATATCGTAACCCCTGATGCGTCCCAAATATAAAAGATCGTATGGCTAAACTCCCGAAAATAAGAATTTAAAAGATCAATTCAAAGAATACAATTAAAAAGAGAAGAAAGCGATTCAAAGGAATTAACAAAGAATCCGAAGAAGAATGATTAACGAGGATGTAATGCTTTATTCCGACAAAACGGGTATTTTGTGCTCAGGGGGTACATGTATTCATGGCACAACATATAAAATACATTTTCTTGCCTGTCTCATTACATGTCACCTTCTCTTTGTTCATAGGTCTGTTCGTTGACCTTTGAATCCAAACATGGCACCACTCTGAAATGCAGGTAAACACAATGTGACAGTAATATTTATGGACTCAGTCTCTATCTCTGCATCAAAGGAGTTGTAGTCCCTAATCTTTCTACTTATTTGCTTCAAAGTCACCAATTTTTTTACTCTTTGTCTAGAATCTAAATGGTAATGTTGCATTTCCGATAAATTTTTATTACTTAGTATCGATGGGCTCGATTGGTCTACTCTGATCCATTCCATTACAAATGCTTTACAAAATTACAGTTCATTGTAACAACAACAAAATCCAATTTGTTCTGACAAGATAATTATAGTTTAATGAATAAAAAATTATCAATTTCAATATTAATTACTGATTATTAGATTAATATGGTCCAAGATTGAAATGTTTAAAAAAAAGTTCAAATAACTTGTCTGTTCTTCACCCTATAAGTTTACAATAAACGATTTAAATACCACGCAATGCTTAGTCCATTATTGATACACTGATTTGACCGGTCGGTAGGGGATGCTTAATCCCCAGTGGCTCCTGATTCTTATTTGCTTTACGTCTGTTTTGTATTTTTTTAAGAACTTAAAATCTTGAATACTGTTCGTTATCTCCCTGTGTTCCATTTACCAGAATTTTTATATGACTATATATTGAATAGAAATGCTTTCAAAACAACGAAATCAAATGCCTACGAAATTATTCAAGATGACAAATAATTTCAATTTGATTCAAATGAAATCTATTGTTTTCTCATTTTTTCCTTATCAACATAACATTTATTCAATTACATTTAAATAATTGTTAAAAATGAATCAAGTATTTTTGCGATGCTTTATTTCTACCATGAAACTTGTCTTGCTCTTATTCCTTTCATTGAGGTGTTTTGGTATTTACAGGATCAGTTTATGTTTAGTTTTTTCATAATCCTAATCATGCAGCACTTGTTCTAAATCAGTAATCTGTTAACTCATGATAGTATCTAAATCACCCTGAATCTCAGTGAAAGGAGAAATGAAGGACTGTTTGTCATAACCCTACGAAAGTACCTTAACCACCCCTACCACTGACATGTAACCTTTCATACCTAGGGTTGATATGCTCTTCCTACACCGTGAAAATCTGAATTGAGTGATGGTATGGTTTTTATTCAAAATTCCTGGTCACTGCATCAAAAATATGTTACTCCTATTAGTCTTAACAGATATAAATTATTTTTTAGCAAAATTTTAGAGCACTTGGTTTAAAGTAACTGATCGCCAGTTATAATTGTCAGCTCATGTAGGGGAGTTCTCAATTAAAATAAACAAAACAGTGGTGTGATGTTCATTATATTAATATCTAAAGCCAAAAAAAGAACAAATATTTAGATATTTTCCTTTAAAAATTTTATGTAATTTGTAGTAAAAACATTAAAATTATTTTTATTTAGTTCTTCTTGAAGATGTTGCTTGACGGTGAATAAACACAGTTCATTTCGAAGCCCATTAAATTAAGATTTTAGAGGTCCTAAAATCAAAAATATACTCTTTCACTTTGGATCGAACAGGAGTTACGACTTCTTCAAAGAATCGTTACAGGTTGCAAGTCTATGATTTATAAGAACTGTTCATTTGGTTACGATTTACCCGGTATATTAAATAAAAAATCAAATGAAAACTTGGTACTGTCTTACTTTTAAAGCAAATAAACGTCATTTTTTCAAAACATGATTTGTTGCTGTCCCAGAAGTAAACAAGAGTTACCTCTCTTACGTACAAGTACTATCATTTGGCTCTCTTTTTAAAAACAATTTTTGTATTAATAAATAATTTAAAGATTCTGGTTAAATTTTTCGATATATAATGTTTTTTTTAATACTGGAATATGTAACTTGTCGAAAATGTCTTTATCAAGGCTAATGCACTACTAGATAAATGCTTTTAAATGAAATTGTTAGTTGGGATTTACAGAAAGTAAAGGTTCGGGACTAAACAGTTATCATAAATACCTAACCTACTATATAAATTGTAATCAGCATTTTGAACTGTTTTTTTATGTTTTTGCGTGATCATGAAACAGTCGAACTGTTGACCGGGCCACAGAATGAATTGTTCCCTGTTTAAAGCGTCATCGTGATATTCAAGCGTTCTGTTGATCACGACATTACTATTTACCTGCTATATAATTAATTAAATTGATATAAAACCCACAAACAATGAATCAATCAATTTATTAAGTATTACTTTAATTTATTGAATATTTATTTAATCTTTATATTATATGTTCAGCTAATTAAAAGGCAAGTATGTGAATAAACAGTTGTTTAAACACTTTATTGATTGTTTGTTTGTTTTTACTCTAATTTAATTAATTATATAGTAGGTTAGGTAATAAAACACTTATTCAATGACTACTCGGTGAAACAGTCAAACTGTTGTCCCTCGGCCTTCGGCCTCGGGCAACAGTTTCCTTGGTCTTCCCCACTACCTCGGGACAACAGTTTGACTGTTTCCCTCGTAGTAATTAAATAAGTGTACACTGTCAGATGTACATATATGTATTAAATAAAGCAATATTTATTAAAATTCTCTGTCCAGACATCTTCATTTTGCAGTGTTCGTAAAAAAGAACAAAACATGTCTGATTTTCAATTTATTACAACACAAATAATGTAGTTTTTATTGGAAAAATTCGCTTAAGAAAATTAACAAAATTCATATTCCTTCAGGAGATAGTTCAACCTCAAAACCTACTCAAAGCATAATCTTTTATTTTTTTTTTTCTATATGATTTATGAAGGATCTGCCATGATTTGCAGTTGGATATTATTTTTTTTCCAACAAACTGTGTGATTTTTAGACCCGATCATATCCAATAAAAATATCATGGGAAATTCTTTTCATCCCATGTTTACTTCACAATTGATGTTTTACACAGTTTTGTATATAGAGGACTCCACTTTATTTCACTTCCTTTGGCATATCCATTATGACGTCACAACTGTAGGATACAAAATCACTATCACATGAGCTATATCAATGTGATAAAGGCTAAACATGGGATAATTAACATTATTGAAAAAAAAGGAATAGAATCCTATAATAAATATAAAAAGAATGTCTATTTTATCAGAAATATTTTATTTGACAAATGGGCTGTCTCTGTAAATTTGTTGTATAAACCAGTTTGAATATCCATCTGTTAAAAATTGAAAAAAAAAATAAAACAATTAAATAATATTTAATAATAAAAGCGACGCTTAGAATTTTTTATAGCTGTTTTAAATGTTAAAGGAGATATCAAAGAGTGAATAATTTTTTTAAGATGAGTGTTGTTTACCTAGTGGCGTTTTATTAACATCATTGTTCCCCTGATCAGTGATCCACTCTTTAGTATAGGATACCACGGATCCTTCCAGGTCGCCGGGGACCATTTCCCGTTAAGGAAGGCCGCGTGACATGAGTTATACCACCAGCCTCCACCATAATTAACAGCACAGTTATATACACTATATCTGTCGTTATTTCTGTCTGGTGTGGTAAAGTACATCCCTGACAATTCGTGGTTAGAATCTGATGTGTCCAACATACTGTCACCTACACAATTATAGAAAATATATCACACATATGTCAATGAATATTTTATGATGCAAAATAATTAATAATTTAAACTAATGTGACTAAAAAGTTGATTCTAGATGCTAAACTGATAAAAAAAAGTTTAAGCTGCCACCTGAACATACCCTTCCCCCTCCCCCCATACACACAGAAACACAATTGAGTTTTACATTAATCGAGAAGTATCTCTTAGAAGTGCTCTTAGAAAAAAATGGATAGAGAATAAAAATGAAAATTATGTTTCAATAGTATAGGGATTTTATCCGCAAACTTTGTATTAATATAACTGGTATCATGTAACATAGAATTCTAATAATACAATAACATGTAGGATACGAGAAAACTATTATAATAATGTTGTATTGAAAATTTGAATAGGCACAAAGAAATGTTTCTTTACAAGACTTTGGACTTGAATCGTTTATATTAATGAATTTTGTTATCCTCTATCTTCCACATGATGACGCCATCATGGAAAACCAAGGTAAGTTCTTGAAAATCTAATGTAATTTGCAATGGTCAGCATGATAATAGATTAATAAATATAAATAAATTAAGCAGTAATTCTTCTTTGTATCCAATTCTAAGAGCTAACATCAATACACTTACCTAAGGTCCCCGTGGCAGGTCCTGCAAGAAAGAGTTGATATTTTCCTGCTTCGTCAGAGACAGAGAATCGATCGTACATTTCATACAACTTTGTACCATTCTCGAGAGTGATGGAAACATACAGGAACGAGTTGTTTTCTTTTGTTAACAGATGAATTACGTCATTTCCTGTATTACAAATGAAATCAACTGTAAAGTCCATCGCAATACCATTATAATTACATTTTCTCTCTCAAAAATTAAACTACCTTTTTTTCATAAACTGTAGACATTGATGCAAAACTTTTTTTCACGCTGAGTGATCTGATATTCTAGCTATCGTTTTTATTGCCAAAAAGATACTACCCAGTCGCAAAATAATATATTTGATATGCTTCATTGCCATTATCTTCTAAAATAAAGATTCTTTGTGAAACGTTGAGGCGGTTGAGAGTCCCTATTCAAAAGAGATGTACACTTACCTATCCAGTAAGAGATGTACACTTACCTATCCAGTAAGAGATGTACACTTACCTATCCAGTAAACCTGTTCTGGGACACCAAAACCATCTTTATAATCCTTCCAGAGCCTGTAGAAATTCAGGGATCCATCAACTCGTTTTTGAATTGCCTTTAAAAATTAACAATTATAGCAATACATTTTACTGTTTTGAACAATTATAAAATCTATATGTGATAATATGAACTACTGTATTTTATTAATCTCTCGAACAAAGGAAGTACTTGATAACTTGATGTGAATTATGTAATATAAAGTATAACATTTGTACACACCGTCCATCCCCCGCCCATTGTGGTCATATCACAGAACACAGTGACAGGCATGATAATGGTGCGATACGGGTAAATGTCGTACACCCCGGAAATAGAGTTACCATCATTACGAAGATCCTTACAGTCTAAGAGGGTTGCTGTAAAAAGGGGGAAAATGGTGTAATCGCATTATGCATAAATACAGTAATTCAAAGATACATGCTTGATACTTAATGGTTAATTGTTGGAGCTAAATTGTGTGGTACGATGTAGCCTAACTATGGATTGTTTTGTCATTACCTGAAACTATTTTGTTTTCTAATTGTTTAAATCTTCAATATGATTTTTTTTTCTACGAATATACCGGTATAAAAGAATTCGCACACATGATCCTAATATATGTATTCTCTTGGTAATTTATCGAGCCTAAAGGGTTAGGTAAACATTGCTTTTCGATGGTGGGGATCATCGTTCTGACAGAAAAGAAACAGCAGTATCATATTTTATTTTATCCTCCGCTTGAAAAGCGGAAGGGTATATAGTTATTTGGATGTCTGTCCGTCTGTTACGCTTTGGGGTATCCATCTGTTATCCGCAACTCCTCATATATAACAAGATGTGTTTGTAAAACACTGATGCCCCCGTAGAGCAACATAGCAAAGATTAAGCTTTTCTTAAATGCTAATTTATTTAATTGGCATCAAAATTAGGGTATTATCACTGGAAAACAATTGTGAAATTTGAAAGTAAGCTAATGTTAAAGTTTTTAATAAGTACAAAAATCTCCGAGGTCAAGGTCAAAAGGTCAAGGTTATTGGTATCAAATGAAAGGTCTTGCCACAAAAAAATACTTATGTAGAGCATGGAAGCCCTACCCCTAACCTTTCAAAAGTTATGGTCAACGTTCATTTTCTTGAAAAGTAGGTCATACTCCAAGGTCAAGATCAAAGGGTCAAAGTAAGGTCAAAGGGTCAAAGTTATTGTTATCAAATGAAAGGTCTTGTCATAAGGATCAAATATGTAAAGTATGAAAGCACTAGCCCTAACTCTTTAAAAGTTATGGTTAAGGTTTGCTTTTTTAAAGTAGGTCAATCTCAAAGGTCAAGATCAAAGGGTCGAGAATCTTTAAATTCAATGAAGGTTTTTCTCACAAGGATTACATATATGAAGTATGAAAGCCCTATCCCTTACCGTTCAAAAGTTATGGTCAAGGTTAAAGTTTTTTTCACAAGTACAGAAATCTACAAGGTCAAGGTCAAGGGTATCCAGTGAAAGGTCTTTTAACAAACATTACATATGCGAAGTATAAATGTCCTGGTTTCTACTGTTCAAAAAATATGGCCAAAGTAAAATATTAAAATTTTCATGTAAAAGTGGGTCAAACTCTAAGGTCAAGGTCAAAAGGTCAAATTTGGTGGTACCCAAAGAAAGGTTTTGTCACAAGGAATACATATATGAAATATGAAAGTCGTAGCTCCACTAAATCAAAAGTTTTGGGTAAGGTTAAAGTTTTTGCGGACAAACAGACAAATAGAGAGAAAGACAGACAGACAGACGGAAACGACAAAAACTATATTTCCTCGAAACTTCGTTTAAGGGGGCATAAAAAGATGTATTTGTAAATAGCTATGCCCATGTATGGCAACATAGCGAAGATTAAACTTTTCTTAAAGGAAATTTAAATATAATGGTACCCAAAGTAGGGTCTTCTCACAAGAAATACAATTGCAAAATAGGAAAGCCCTAGCACCACATGTTAAAAATTAATGGCTAAGGATAAGTGTTTGAAAGGAAGGTCAAACTCAAAGGTCAAAGCGTGAAAGTTGAAGGTTTCTTAAGAAACGTTTAATGTAACAAGGATTACATTAATTAAATTTCGTGAAGTATGAGAGTACTAGTATCTACCGTTTAAAAGTTATAGCCAAAGTAAATTGATAAAAAATTGGCATTTTTTTGTAAAATGGGACAAACTCAAAGGTAAAGGTCAAAAGGTCAAATCTTGTGGTACCCAAAGTAAGGTCTTGTCACAAGGAATGTACATATATTGAATTTGAGAGACATATCTACAATAAATGAAAAGTTATGTTAAAGGTTAAAGTTTTTGCGAAGAGACAGACATACAGACGGACACGATAAAATTATATACCCCCGAATCTTCGATTATACAGGGTCATAAAAAGAAATTGTCTTCAATTAACTTTTCATATTATGATACAGTATAAAGAAGACGTTACAAAAATGAAAAAAAACTCAGAACTGGGTAAAATCGTGGAGTAAAACAAGAAATAAGAAATGTAATGAATACTGTGTGCTAAATCAAAAGGTTTTGTCTACTGAAAGGGAAAACTGTTTTCTATATTTTCATTATAGCGAAAATTATCGCCCTTGTCATTTTAATAACTAATTATATATGTGCTTAAATAAACACTTAATTGAATTTGAATTAAAGTTATCAATAATAATCATTGTATGTTACACTAGTTGGATTACTAAAGATTGGTTGATTGGAAGCTTGATTCGTGTTTTAATTACTTTGTAAATAAATAATCACTAAGTACGAGGGCCGTTCAAAAATTACGCGGACTTGTTGCACAGAAAAAATATTTGACGACATAATCGGGCAAAATGTCACACATAATATAAAAGAATCTTTACTTATATGGTCTTCAAAATTTCATATCAAAATGTTGTAAATTGGTATCAATTTTGAGTGATTTTTCAGGACATATCATTAAGTCACGGAGCAGCAAAATCTTTGACGTCACAGGCATTATAAAACAATATGTGATTTATCTCTCATTTTCTCAACATTTTCCCAAGAGTACCTGCACAGTTTGAGTTACCTTATCTACTCAACATCAAAACACCATTTCTTGTCAATCTTAATATCTATTAAACGAGTAAAGAATAATAATTTTTTTTGTTTAAAACCAAAAACTACAGGTATCTATGAGATACAGTGTGATATTAGTGACTCTAAATCACGTTCTGTACAGTCCGGATAAAGTTTTCGTCGAAAATCTTCTTCCCGTCCTCCCTTATAGCCTTTTTTCAGAGGACTAATGGTCTAAAATTTCAATATGCTATTTGTGGACGAATGTCACGAATACCTTAGTTTACTACTTGTTTTATTATTCATGTTTTGGATCTATGTTGGAGATATTTTGAGCATTACACATAATTTAACAAAAGTGTGGTGCGCCGTCAATTCAGGAGACGTCATTTTCACAGTCGTTTTCACGGGAATCGCATCAGAGAAAAATCACTATATTTCTGTTAATACTTCAAATATCACGTCAGAAATCTAAATACATAATAATAGAACAATTTAAAGATACATTTGAGAAAATTGTCGAAAAATATCGCGAATTATAGAAAATAAATGAGTTATATTTTGAATTCCGCATGCTTTTGCTTTAAATCTTTTGTCGTGCTCCGTACCTCTCCATCAGCGATGTCAACAAACCGATAATTTTAGTAGATTTTTTTTTGAATACAGAAATTTTGCCCAAAATTTATTGGATTCTTTAAGATACATATTTCTGTGAAATTTCATAGCTGTATGACGTCTGTAAGAGTAAATAATAGCACAGTCCGCGTAATTTTTGAACGGCCCTCGTATTTTAGATGGTGTTAGGATATATAGGATTTTTACTGGCGAGGATTGCGAGGTCGGTTCTAGAGGTAAAACTTGAAAAACCTGTGTGTGTACATATAAGTGTGCGGACTTCCCTGCTTATATTGTACTGTTTTAAGTAGTAAGTGTGTGGTCATCCCTGCTTATTACTTGACAGAGTTTGTGGTCATCCCTGCTCTGTGATTGGCATCTTAAAGTAGCAAGTGTGCGGACATCTCTGCTTGTTGCTGCGCAAGATCAGGTGTGTGGACATCCCTGCCTGCATCTTGTGGTAGAGCATTGGTGTGCGGACATCCCTGCCAGTGTCTCTAGGCTAGAACCGTATTAGTGTCAAGTGTGTGGTCATCCCTGCTTGTCACTGTGCAAGGGCAAGTGTGCGGTCATCCCTGCTTGTCTTTTGTGGAAGTGCGCTGGTGTGTGGACTTCCCTGCCAGTGTCACTTGTTCGCTACCAGTAAAGACCTTATATACGCAGTACCAAGTGATTAAGACTGCGCATTGTATATATTTGCAGCATCTCAAGGCTATCCGTTTTTATCACGGGTACGAGCCTGCGGGGGTTCACAGGCAGTGACCTCCATTGCACGTTACACTACATGTATAGTTTTTGCATTAGAATGAGTATTTTACACTAGCCCATAGCTTTACAGAGCATTTTTGTAGGTGTTATACCCACCCCACGCCACCCCCTTACTTATTCAGGAGGAAGTTGATTATCAACAAAAGCGACAAAAAAAACTACCCTACCATTATTTTTCTATAAGGAGGGACTAAAAATAAGCTTAAAATAATCTACTATTCTACTAATTTTTAACTGTTACAGTACCCGCTTCGTTATTCTTTACAATTCTATCGTGTTCTATCGTGCGTGTATCCTATCGTATCGTGCGTGTATCCTATCGTATCGTGCGTGTATCCTATCGTATCCTATCGTATCGTGTTTTCCGTTTATCAGGTTTTGCGTTTCCTATCGTGTTTTCCGTTTATCGTGTTTTGCGTTTATCGTGTAGATCGTTTATCAGGTTCTATCGCGTATCGTGTTTTGCGTTTATCGTGTATATTCGGAAACCCTCGCTTTTTATCTTTACTATGTAAAGAAACTACTGAGCTATTCCGAGTTTCTTTTTCGTTTTGTTAATAGAAATAAGATTAATTCAACCGGAAAAGAGAAAATAAAGATTTATCTCTTTCTTTTTCATCAATATAAGAAATATTAAAGCGTAGAAGGAAAAAATAATTAATCGCGTATTTCATGAATGAATAAATTGATTTATTAATAATTAATTAATTAAATAAATAAAATAATTATATCATGGAAAAGCAGAGAGTAATTGTCAAAATTTAAACAGTAACTCCTTTTTTCGGAAATGAAATTATAAGTAGATCGATCAGCTGGTCTATTTCTTTAAAAATAATTTATCGAATTGTATGACTTATTTTGTCAAAATTAAATACTATTAATATGATTTTCTCAAATGAATCGGAGTTACCGGAGAAAGATTTTTGGCAAGCTACGATGTTCGCGTAGACAAAAAGCAAATAAATAAATAATAAGCATGATATTGAAATGTGTCTGTTGTTCATGCAATATTCTGTTTTTCCTTGTTTATCGTCTGATAACGTTAGAAATATGTTTACGCGTCTGACCTGCATGTACATGTATGCACAAT